GAAAAGTGGTTTAGTTGATTATTCAATATGCAAAATATTTTTCCAAGTTACAATCCTTTCATTTGGGTTACTCAATAAATTACCCAAATAAAAGGATTGAAAGAGAAGGGGGGGGGGGGGGGGGGGGGAAAGATGGATATTTTTAGCTCTACATAACTGGTCACCAGTGGTTGATTCTAGCACAGTGAAGAGCTACCTATCCACCCACTTCCACCTCACGTCAAACTGGAGGCAATGAGCGCATCCAAACCACCTTGAAAGGAGCGATCTTATCAGTATTCAAATCAACTGAAAACAGTACCTCCTTTCAGCATCAAGTGGAAGGAGTTCATTTTGCAGTCAGCACTTTGAAGACTTTTCTATGTCATTTCAACTCCTGATACCTGTCAATATAAAGTAATGTGGACTTTAACGTGGAATATTTCTTTTTTAAGTCCAAAGTAAGTTATTACTTTTCCACTAACATTTTCACAGTACAGTTGAGAGGCATTTAAAAGGACCAGAAGGGCTCATGCAGATAGAACTGTATGTATCAAAAATACAGTGATGCAAAGTATTAAAAAATTAATGTATCACTCTCAGGGGGAGGGAAGAAACCAGTAATATTGTTTAAAAAAAAAAAAGAAGTAATGGGTATTTGTCATTTAAGGATTAATTTAAAATATCTGAATTAAGGATTCTGCGTTATAAAGCAATTTTTGTGCAAGAGTTTTATGCCAATTTCTCAGCTTTTACAGGACTCCAATTTCACAATCTATATGAAAGGCAAGCATGTTCATTTAGCAACTCCAACCTGTTTTTTGAGAATCCAAGCACACAGAAACGGTCAAGTCAAACAAGCATGCAGTTGCCAAATTTATGAAGAAGAAAAACAAAACACATCCAGCATTTTGCTCGAGCCCCTGATGAAAACGCTCCAAACTTAAGAGCTGCCGCTGGAAACAAGCCTGAACCTTGATTCAGCTCAGTAGCTTTTAAAGGATAGCTCACTCGTACTAGGCTGTGGCTCCAGAGGCTGCTGCCAAGCACCGTCTCGGTTGGGCTCAGCACAGGTCCAGGACTGTCAGAGCACTGGCGGCGAGGAGCTCCTCGCTAGCTTTGATACTGACATTTCTGCAGGCATCTCTTTCACCCAAAGCCTTGCTCTTGTTGTCATACAAGCAGTTAAAAAAGAGCCCCTGTTTGACCACGGTTATGCAATAAATAGTTTCTGCAGTGTTTTACCAGGTCAAAAAGATTTATGCCAAGCTTTATCCTGTTTCCTGTTACAAGTACTTTGAAAAATGTGGTAGCGTTCAGCACTCCTAGAGTCTTCATTTTTACACCGTACTTCCTACCTGGGTTTGTATAATGCAATACACAACGAGGAAGCAGATACAAATGCAAAATAAAAAATTACTTCCAAGGAAGCTATTTGGTGCCATAAAAGCTGGAAAACCAGCAGCCACATGCAGAGGTAGCGGGATTGTGCAAACACACCGCGCCTCAAAACACGTCTGAAATTAACAGAAACCGAGGGCTTTGGGTTTGTTTTTTTGGAAACCATCAGCACTGCAGTCTACCTGCTCATCCCCGCCTTCGCCGCAACCCGCGGACACCTTGACCGGCCTGGGGACGCCGGGCCGGAGGGGACCCTCCCGCCACCGCCCGCTCCCCACGCTGCCAAACACGAGGCAAACGGGCCACGGAGCGGCGGGAGACACGCGGGGAAAGAAAAACCCAGCTGTCCCCCG